GAGAAGTTCAAGTTCTCTCATGGGGCGCAAGCTTTTGGCACCATGCAGAAATGGCTCCCTAGCACCTTCTAGACTGCCAAGATCATGCCGTTTGCTGGCGGTGCCAAGCTTAGTCGCCACATGCAGGCCTCAAAAGACAGCGCCAGTCTTTTCAGCCCTCAAAACGAGCTAAAATAGCGTCTATAAGGTAAGAGCATCGTTATTGTGCTTCCTGGCCTTATTTTTGGTGGTTTTTGAAGCTGGAAAAAGGAGCGCGTCCCAGCGGGGCCTGTTCCTGGCGAACAAGCTTGACACCGCCAAGTTTGGTGGAGATTTGATGCCGCAGTTGCAGGCGGGAGCGCCCTTTTCGATCAGTGTTCAGAATGGTGCGCCCCATGGTCGCAGTTTGAATTTCACGGTCTCGACGACCGTTGGCAAGTTATGCCACGTCAGCATTTTAAATTTGCCCGATTATAAATCGCGGGTGGTGGTTTAACGCATGGATGCCAGATGCCAAGTGCCAGCATATACCAGATGCTGGCAAATGTTGCTGAGTACGTTTTTGAACGTTACGCTGGCATGTGACTTCCGAGCTGGCTGACTGGGGATCAAACATGGCGGCCAGCAACCCTAATTCCATGAAACAAATATGTTGATGCGCACATGTTATATATATCGCTCAGGATGCCTTGCAGGTTTGCAGCGAGTCAAATACGGGATGTCCAATCAACAGCCAGGTTCCTGCCCGATTTGGGAAGCGCCCAAGAAGCACTGCCTTCAACCTGTTAACAAATGATCACAAATGACAAGGTTGCATATTTAATCTGACCAAGATTATGAACAAAATGCCTTTCTAACAACTTTCTCATTCGGACTATGCAAACTTGAACTACTCGTCGAAACCTAATCCAGCACTACGTTGTGGCAAGAACTTCTGTGCCTTTCTCGAAATTGTCTCAATCTCTTGTTGTACACACCAGTCTGACGAAAACCCACTGTACAAATGACAGGCTGCTAACCAATCAACTTCCCCGCCCACTTTTCTATGTACCTCTTTTCTAGAGGCCCCGAAAGAATGATATCAACCCACTATCTACCTGCGAGTATGTAACAATTTCTATCCTGACTCTGCGCAAAAGCATGTCGAGTCGACTTGAACAATTGCAGACCGGCTGGTGTTACCAGTGATTCAGAAGCTCGTACACAGCCAGAGTGATCCCTGCAGCAAATGAAAGCGGATCTCTGTAAGATGCTGGGAGAGCGTGCTTGACACAGCAACCGACTTAGGGCATCGCCTGGCATCCAAATACAAACAGAATCTGAGACCGAAGTCACTTGCACCCCAAGTGAGGAGCAAAGCAAACACCAAAATCTGCTTTTTATCACACACAGAAGCATCAGTCAACTTAAGTGAGAACGTCAATCAAAGGAGAGCTTGGGTATGCTGAACTGCATTCCGAAGGCCTTGCTAGAAACAGATTCTCACCGAACTGGGGGCTAACTCGGAGCACGCGGGTGAGCCCGCCGTTGAAGAGGGCCTTTGGCCCCTCCTCCCGAATGATCTTTTGGGTCGTGTCCCAGAACCCGAGCACCACCTCGCCCTCCTTCCGCTCCATCTGCACAACGGAAACAGATCGCAACTTTCAAGAGCGGAACTTATGCAATTTGCTGGGCGTTTGTTCGAAGATCGAGTGCCCCTTGAAGTGATGCTTTGCTGAGCGTTTGTGACACTCAGCAAACGCTCAGAAAAGAGCAAGTACCACCGTCATGGATCGCTACCACACAAAAAAGGACAGAAAGCACAACGTCAAGCCCTGAACCGGCGATTGGACCCATCATGATTTCAAATTCTAACTCGTGGACTAGCCAACCCGGGCATCTGGCATGTTCACCCGCCAAAAGCACGATCTTTCCCGTATCAAACCCAGCACAAGAGCCCAATAAGCACAATTCTGTCCTTACCGCAGCCCAAAACCAAAGCCTGAAAACCAGACTCCGTCCCTTACTCAACCTGAAACACAACCGAAATCCCAAAAAGCTTAAGACCTTCTCACCTGCATGCGAGTCTTGACGACGTCCATGGGCGTGCACAGGAACGCCGCGGGCGCAGCCGCGAGGCAGCCGGCGATGAACGGCTGATCCGGGAAAGAATCTTTCAACACGATGTAGCAGCCGAAGAAAATGGCGGACGACGGGATCTCGCGCAGCAGCGTGGCGATGCTGCCCTGGTATAAACCGGCGGGGCCGAGCTCGCGTGCGATCTCGAGAGCTGTTTTCTTGGCGTGGCCAGCGTCGGCGGGGCCTTGCATCTGCTGCCGGATCTTGACCATCTCCATCTGAGGGGAAGAGAAAAACGTTATCAGCCGGAAATCAACATTGGTTGGTTAATATGTTACTGATCCTGATCAAGTTCCGGTTAGGGAAGGAGAGAAGGCAGTAAGACCATGAATCAAGAACAGGTGAATCGGGATGCTGCTAGAAAAGGGGTGGTACCCTGAAGGATTTTCAAGAAGCTATCACTTGTCCAGATCGGGCAGAAAAAGCACACTGAGGCAAACGGACGTTTCTGATAGACAAATCAAAATAAAGCCGCGCCTTTCTTCGATCAAGCAATGGCGGCAGAACAAGAATGACCAACCAAACAAGTCCTCTGACAATCCGATAGGAGTCACTCACCGGGTTTGTGAAGACGACCTGAGCTAGGCCTCCTCCGCTGCCGGCAAAGAGCTCCAGCGTCCAGAGGCGAGCCCCCGGGATGTAGCTTTCCAGAACGCTCATGAGCAAGTCGTTCACCGTCAGCTTCATGGCCTTCTCAGGGGCGACGCCAAGCAGCTGCGGGGCAAGGGATACGAGTCTTAGGGGATTGAGGATGATGGTTTGCAAAACTTATACTTAGAAAACAATGTGTCGAACTTGCCATGGGGTTGTGGATGACGCTTGGGAGTGCTTTAGGAGTCAAATCTTAACTAAAGAACAAAGAGTTTTTCCTTCTATATGTAACAATCTAGTATGGTGACTCTTTTACAAATATGGAAGTCGGATCTTACAGGACAGTAACGCCCATGCTAGAAATTGTCATGGCAACAAGCATCAGGACGCAAACAGGACGCAAACCAGTCCACTGACAAGGTTGAAAGGGCTAACTGACCAGGATTTCTGAACCGTCATTACATACAAGGGACCAAAGGGCCCATGCATTTGGAGGGTTCATTACCTGAGGGATGAGGCCCAAGAAGAATGCGCCGGGCCCCTCCTCCTTCAGTATCTGAACCACGCAGTCGGCCGGGTTGGCGTACTTAGGCTTTTCCCCCTTCTTGGTCTCCTGGCCTTGCATACGGGTCTTGACAACGTCTGCAAGATTGGAAAGACGAGGTTAGTAATTGAATTCAAAGCCACAAAGTCCTTTGTATGAACGTTGATGTACTTTCCATCTTGACCAGAAGTAAGCGTGCTCTGACTGGCCTACAGGCAAAGATGGATTACAATGCAATTGACCAGACCTTGTTCCATTCCGTACTTCTTAGACAATACAACTTCCCCAGCAATCTCAGTAAACGACAAAACAGCAGATGCATAGCTTTGCGAGCAGAACCGCACTCAATACTGCAATGCCCTTCAACGTCACTTCTCACCAATTGGGCACACAACAGTCGCCCCCACTGCGCCCGCCACGCCACCCTCCACAAAATGATGCGCCGAGCTCGCGATCGCCGACGCAAGCCCCGACTGAGTCAACACCGCAGCAGAATGCGCGACCGCAACGCTCTCTGCCGCAGTAACGGCAGCGGCCCCCCCTTCCAAAACCGCTGACGTGGCAGCGTGAGCAACCGCCCTCACGGGGGTGGTGCACACCGCGCCCGCTGACGTCAGCGCTGAGGTGGCGGCCGCACTTGCCCCCGACTTTGCCACGACGGCGGGGATGGTCGAAGCGACGGTGCTGGAAACCGCACCCGCTGAAGAAGCAACGACGGCCTTGCTGGCGACTGCCGCGGGGAGCGAGGTCGCGAGGATCGCCGAGGAGGGGACTGCGGTGCTCGCGGCTGCGCCCGCCGCTGCTGACGTCACCGCTGAGGTTGTCGCGGCTGCTGCTGATGTCACCGCTGAGGTCGTTGCTGCTGCTGCTGACGTCACCGCGGAGGTCGTCGCCGCGACTGCTGACGTCGCCCCTGCCACTGCTGACGTCGCCCCAACCACTGCTGCTGTCACCGCTGGAGTTGCCCCTGCAACCGCTGATGCAGCCCCCAATGCCGCAGATGTCGCTCCCGCAACCGCTGACGTCGCCCCAGTAGCCACTGACGCTGCCCCTGCGGAGCCTGCTGCCGCTGAGGCGAGCCCCGCCGCAACAACCGCTGACGTCGTCCCCGCCGCAACGGCCCCTGCTCCAACTGCCGCTGACATCACCGCGGGCGCGGCGGCACCAGAGGCCGCGGCAGTTCCCCCTGCTAGGACAGAAGCAGCCACAGTCGCTCCAACTGCTTCCGCAGCGTGAAGAGTGGCTGCTGTAGTGGCTGCTGTAGCCACCGCATGAGAGACAGGAAGAGTGGACGCCGCCAACAAAGCCCCCCCTGTAGTCGCCCCTGCCGCAGCCCCCCCGGCTGTTGCAACAGCGGCAGAAGTTGCGCCTGCCGCCGCAGCCGTAGACCCTCCAGAGGCGACTAAAGACACCCCCGCCACAGCGGCCGCGGCGGCCGCGATCCCGTTGCTTGTCCGCCTCTTCCTCTCTCCAGATGCGCCCTCTGACCCGTCAGACTTCCTGCTCTCTACGCTGATGTCAAGGACAGGGTTGGGAGCCTCCCCTGAAACAGGAGCGTCTGTGCCCCCAGGACTGTCGACCGTGAACTGGACTGGCATGCCTGCACTTGGGAGTGTGACATCGCTGTCTAGGGGGTCGTCTGTCACATTCGATCTCCTTTCTAAGAGAGTCTCTGTTGCTAGTGAGGACTCTGTTGCAACCCCTATTTGAGTTGCTAGTGAGGTCTCTGTTACAACCCCTGGTTGATCTAACTCAAGCGCATGTGCTTGGCCCACATGCAGACTGGTGCAGAGGGCCAAACCTGCCGTCACTCCTAAGAAGGACTTCCACAGGGGTATACTGTGTCTTTGTTCTCCGTCTCCTTCCTTCTCCTGCACGCCCCCTTGTCTTTGACCCTCGCTCAGCCTCTTCCCCGCCCTCGGGCGCACACTGTGCACCTCTTTCCGCCTTTGCTCCTTTCCTAACATGCTTTCTAAACCCGCACACCGGCAGGCGGGCCTTGGAGACACCAGATCGGCAAGGTCTCCTGCTCTTCGCCCCATAAAGCCCCTTCTTGCCACATATGGTGGATACAAGAAGGGCCGTGGAGGATCTATCCACGATCTGCTGCCTAACAAAGGCCCCACTTGGCCCAGATTTAGGGGGGTGCCCACCCCCCTGGCATAGGATAGAGCCATCAGTCTCCTGATACTCTAGCACGCCCTTCAAAATGCAAGCTTCCTCTATGAACTGGAGAAGGGGGGCTGTAAACACGGAGGGGCAACAAGACTTTTGAAGCACGTAGATCGGATAATAAGCAGATGATAGGACGCCCCAACGACTTGCTGTTATGTGAGCATAAATCAGGTAAGGCAGGGAGTCGGCGCCCTGATGGTGAAGGACCAAACAATGCTTGAGCTCTTCTTCCTCCTGCCGCCAACTACTTGTGAAACACCTAGGACCTAGGTGAGGCTAGGTCCTAGCTACCTATGTTCATGAACTCAGCAGTCTGCGCCTTTCAGCCTGGCGTCTTCTCAGCATGAACGTCGTGACAAGGCAGCAAGAAGCGCGGGTACGGTACCGTTGGTTTATTGAGTGCATGGTTGACGAGACGGGGCCTTGGTAGGGGCTTCCGAGCATCCTTTCAGCACAAGGCAGGAGTTTTAAAAGGCTCGGTTATTGTACCCGGGACCAAGGTCAACTCACCCGGGCTCAGACCGGTAGCAGGCGGTACCATCTAGGTAACGAGACCGGGTTACGAACCACGGTCTCCAATCACCCAAAACGGTCAACCGTCAACTTTCAAGATCCAGTGCCAACCTCCATATCCCGGGCTCCGAGGAAGCACCCGGGGGAGTGCCCTTACCTGACCAGTACATGAGGGCGACGGCTACTCTGTTCCACGACAAGCAACACATGATAATTTGAATGGGACTCACAGTCGTCTTCGAAACGAAAGCTGTAATTGATGGGCCTAGTTAAGTTGTTCTTCCCGGACGATCCGGGCTCAGAGCCCCGGTCCGCTAACTGCTTCCCGGGCCGCCGGATCAGGCAGTGCATCATAAACCGTTGGATTGAAAGGTTTGACTTTTAGGTACTTTGACTCCATTTTCAAACCTCAAGCAAGACAAAGCCCGAGATATTTTCCACGTGGCGCTCGCAGAGGGCTTGACAAACTTGACAAGATTCTGTCGGCGAAAGGCCTTTCGTTCACCGTTACCGCGCGCGGAAGCTTCTGGGTGGCAGTTTGGAATCCGGGAAAATGCACGGGCCTACCAAATGAAGTTCAGGCTTATCTGGACGGCCAGGATCGCCCCGGACGGATCGTACGGTGGAAATGCGTTAACGCTCGTGCCGGATTCGGCAGTGACGGTAAATTCTGTTGCATGTACCGTAGAGGACGCCACGTCACCACCCCACGACGATTTCCGGACATTTTCGATCACCGCG